TATATGTCATCTGTATATCCTCTCGGTGAAATGTCTGCATATCTTCTGTGATTTATATATTTTGAGGCTATGTTATTGGGTGATTACAAGTTTAGGGTTGTTGTATCTTCTTGGTAAATTAAGCTTTTTATTCTTAGGTAGTTATTCTTTTTATCACTAGTAGCGTCTCTTGCCTTAAAATCTATTTTGCTTTATATTAGTATAACTACTCGAGCTTTTCTTTTTTGGCGTCATTATATTTTTGATTTGTCTCTTAAAACAGCTTATATCTGAATTTCTAAAAGTCCAATCTGACAACTTTGTCTTTAACTAGAGAATTTAATCCATTTACATATATTGTGATTAGTAATGTATTTCTACCACCTTATTACGTGTTTTCTGAGTTTTTTTCTCTTTTCTTCTTAAGGTCAAACTTCTTTTTCCTTTTCTTATCCCATCCCTCTCTGCCCCCCTTCTTTGGAAGGTATACACTGGATAGCTTTATTTTACGTGGTTCTCCTAGTTATTTCAACATACATACTTAATAAAATCTAAAGTTAATATCTTTTCCCTCCTTATGAACAATTAAAGTACTTTAAAATGCCTGTCTCCAATAACCCTCCCTACTTATATGCGATTATTGATGTTATTTCAGTTCTATCCTGTGCCCCACACACAAATTAACATTATTATTATCATATACAGTCATTGTTTGCTTGGATTTCCCTACATATTTAATGATATATTTTGGTTGGTTTTAAAATACGTCCCCAGATTATTTGATTCTCCTTCCTTGAAAAGGTGGAGCCTAATTCCCCTCCACAGCCCTTGAGAAAGGAGTGGACTTGGGACTGGCTTCTAATGAATGGAACAAGACAGAAGGGATGGCGTGACTCTTTCAGTGACTGCGGAGACTAGGTCCTAAAAGGCACGTGCTTGCTCATGGCTGTTCTCCCGGATCATTTACTCTGGGGAACCAGCTGCCATGCGTGAGGACACTCAAGCAGCCCTGTGGAGACAAGAAGCCAGGTGCTCTTGGAAGTGGGTCCGCCAGCCCCAGTCAGCCTTCAGAGGAGACGGCCACCCCAGCAGATATGAGATTCCAAGCCAGAACCACGTGGCGCATCTGCTCCTGAATTCCTAACCCATAGAAATGGCAAGAAAATAATTGTTGCTTTAAGCCACTAAGTTTTAAGCCAATTTGTTCTGCAGCAATAGATAACTAATTCATCCTTGTTTAGGATTCCTTCTTGAATTTTACCTTCTTTCTGAAGTCCTTCCTCTGGAATTTCCTTTAGTGAAGTCCTGTTGGTGGTAAACTCTCAATTTTTGTTTGTTTGAAAATGTTTTTTTTTTTTTTTTGCCCTCATTCTTACAAGATAGTTTCTCTGGGTGTGAACCTCTAGGTTAATAATTACATTGTCTTGGTCATCAGAGTCATCATTCACCGTCTCTGGGCTCTGATGTTGTGGTGGTTCCTCTGTAGGTAATTGGTTTTCCATCTCTGGATTCCTTTATGATCTCATAAGAGAAAATGTGCATTTCTCTTTATTCATCCGGGCTGGGATTTGTTGGGATTCCTGGATCTGAGAATTGATGTGTTTAGACAAGTATGGAAAAATTCAGCCCAGTTTATCTTCATATATTGCTCCCTTCCTATCCTTTTTCAGGAAATCCAACCAAATGCTGATTGACCTGCTCCCTCTATCCTTCAAGATTCTTCACAGCTCATTCATGGTCCCCATCTCTCTGTCTCTCCAGGCTGTGTTTTGGATAATTTCCTAAGCCCTGTCTTTCAATTCACTAAATCTCTTTTCAGCTGTGCTGAAAATTTTCATTTGAAGTTTAGTCCATTTGAGTTTTTAATTTCAATTATTACATTTTTTGTATTTCTAGAAGTTCTACTTGATTCTTTTTCATACTTTATTGGTAACTTTTATAGAATAAAATATTATACTTTCTTATAGAATAAGAAACTATAAAGACTATTCCTTTCATATTTTCAAGGGTCTTTTATTCCTTTAGACATATAAAATGTAGTTATTTTATATTCTCTATCTGATAATTCCAGTATCTGGAATGTCTACAGAATCCATCTGTTGTTTCTGCTGGCTCTCGTGGTGGATTCTTTCTTGGTGGTATGAAAATTTCTTAATGTGGAGATATTAATTTTCCTTGGAACTTGATCAATGCTGAATCCTTGAGGCCTGGTAAAGCTGCATTCCTGTAGATTCTCCACCTGGGCCCCCCCCCCCCGCCCCCCACCTGGGACATTTGGCAGTCTCGAGACATTTTGGTTATCATAACTGAGTGTGTATGTGCTGCTGGTATCTGGCAGATAGAGGGCAGGGATGCTGCTAAACATCCCGCAGTACATGGGACAGCCCCAGAGACTTACTCTGCCCCAGGCGTCTCTTGTGCAAGGCTGAGAGCCTGCTTGAGGACATGCATTTGCTTCTGCCACTCACACAGGCACTGCCAACCTGGGCCACTTAAAATTCTCCCCTGAGGTCTCTAGGGCCACATAGGTAGCCTGATTTCAGGCTGCAAATGAAGACGACATATTTTTTCACCCTGCACGGAACACCAGGGCCGAGAGGCCCCTCTCCTGAGTCACCTTCTGTGGCCAGCTCATTTCACATGTACCCTGCAGCTGAAGGGCCAGTGGCATGCGGGAGCTCTCCTGACGATAGCCCCCCTGGGGCAGACACTATGTTCTGTCTCCTGTCTCCCAGGTTCCGTGCAGACGTCAGAGGGGACGTGGGAGCCCCCAGGAGTGGCAGACACCCTCGGGGGAATGCGGGCCACCATGCCTGCTTCTCCCAGAGACTGCCACCTTCCCTGTTTTGGTCTCTGCAGATTCCTTCACTGTCTGTATGCCTGGAGGGCTGACTAGGATGAAGCCAGGCGAGGCAGGAAGGGCAGGAACAGCATGTGCAGAGCCCAGAGGTGGCAGGGGCTCTGCTCGGCTGCAGCCCCAGCTACGTAAGGGACTTGGGTGGGAGCTATGGGGGCCACACTGTTTGGGGCCTGGGTTTGCCCTGAGTGACGGGGTCATGGAAGGATTTGGAGCAGGGGAGGGTGCAGTTTTCAGTTCTGGAAACGTCAGGGGCTCTGTTTAGAGAATCTGTGAGCGGAGGGACTCCTAGTGAGGGTGGGCTCAGGGCCTGGGCTGGTGTGGGGGACTGGTCATGGGATGGAAGGGGAGGGGCAGATCCAAGAACCACGAAAGAGGCAGCTTTGGGGAGGTCCCCAAAAGAGGACCCACCCTGATGATTGGGAGGGTCTGTCCTGGCTGGCACTGGTCTAACCACTGTACCGCAAGTCCACTGGGATGCTGAAGGCTGTGTCTTGCCCTTCAGGGCCTGCTCCTTTTTCTGTTTCCTCTTCCAGGGAGCCTGTCCAGGAGGTCTAGGCCAGGGGGCTCGCTTAGGCCCCCAGGAGAACTCACCCTCATCCTCTGAGGGCGGCCTGCACACTGGGCTGATTTGGGCCTGACTGGGGATGCTGGCCACCCCCCACCCCAGGCCCTGAGCACTGTGGGGGGACAGCTGGTCCAGGTTGCTGCTGGCAGGTTACCACAGAGCTGGGGCCAGAAAGAAACAGCTGTCCTGCACCCAGGACCCCTCCCTGTGGCCAGGGTGCCTTCCAGGGCTGCAGGAGGCTGTGCCCAACCTCTTCAGGTGTGTGGGGTCCCTGTGCTCCATACACACCCACACTCCACATCTGGGGCCCCCCCCCACCAACCCACCAGTGATGTCACTATGCCCTTGGCTTGGGGGTCCCTGTGGGATGGCAGCACAGAGCACCGGGCCCCTCCTAAGGTGGAGGTGCTGTTAGCAGGCCCGGCTGAGCCGGGGTCCCCCCCAGCCTCTTCCTGAGTTCTGTGGTTCCCCTTTTCTGTAGCTGAGCAGAAGTGTTCTCTCCCAGCCCAGACCTGGGGCCAAGCTGGGGGTGGGGGATAAGCCCTGGTGGGGGTGCTTGGCCTACAAGGCACCTTAGGGCATGTCTGGGAGGCCTAGGCTAACACCCCTTCCTGGACACAAGGACCTCCCTAGGGGAGGGGGACACAGGAGCCACCCTGTGACCACAGCCTGCCCTGCTCAGGTGGTCTGGCAGGCCCACGGCCCTGAGCCTGGTCCACAGGTTGCACTGTGGGTCTCAGTCTGGGTGGAGTCTTGGCCAGGAGGGATGACGGCTAACCCAAGTTGGTTTAGGGTGTGGGGTCTGTAGGCAGGGGACAAGCAGGCCATCCTTCCAGCCCCATTCCAGGAACCTTCAGCCTTGGCCCAGGCATGAACCCAGACCACCGTCCCGGGGGGGCTCCCCCGGAACTCCACACAGGCAGACACCCCCCTCCCCTTAGAGGCCACTTCCCACCCCCTCCATCTACCCTGGCTGACGGACAGCCCCCTAGTCTTGGTGCCCTGGGTTGGGGGAAGATGCCCTTGGGCCCCCAGGTGTCCCAGGGTCCCCTCCTTCCGGCCTCCATCTGAGACAGGTGGTGGGGGGGTCCGGGGCAGGGCCTGTGGCAGCATGTGCAGCATCCTCTGCTGGCCACTGTCGGGAGTGCAGCGTAGTGTGACCAGTACCTTTTACTGGAGACCCCAGGTGGGAGGGGAGACAGGCGGCTGTAAACATGGGGCCGGGCTGCCACAAGCCCAGCTTGTCCAGGGCTGCCTGAGATCTGATAAACACAAGGAGGGGTCCCCCACTATGCACCAACAGTGGCAATAGCAGCTTCAGGCTGTGCCAGCAGGACGGAGCCCCACCCCATATCAGCCCAGGAGGCCAGAACCAAGTCAGTGTCTGGGGCCACAGGACATCCTGGGGGGCAGCCCACCTGCTGGCTCCACCTGGGGTTGGTGGCATCTGGAGCAGCCCAGACTGGAAGGGAGGGGGGGTGCCGTGTCCAGGCCAGCCGGGTGGTCTTCAGCCTGAGAGGTGGGGTTAAGGGGGTGCCCGCCCCAGGCTGAGCGCCAGGCCAGGCTGAGGGGGCCCACATCCACGCCCGTGTCCTGCTAGATGAAGGTGGAGTCCAGAGGCCCAGCATCCTGCTGGCTGAGGGCACGGGCCTCAAACAGCTGCTTGATGAGGGCGGATTTCTCCTGCTCCAGCTGCGTGATGCGTTCACTCTTGTCGGTCACCTCCTGGCCAGGCAGGAGGACAGTCAGGGCCTGCGGGGCCTCCAGCCCTCACCCCACAGCCCTCCCTGCACCTCACCTGGGTGAGGAGCCGGTTCTGCTCTTTCAGCATGAGGATGGTCTGCTGCTGCCAGCCTGGTGCCGGAGGCGAGGCGGGGGCCAGGACTGGGCATGGGGGCCCTGAGGATGAGGGCAGAGCCTACGGGAGGGCACGGTCAGGCAGGTCTGGCATTCCCCAGCACAGCCTCTAGGACAAGGGTGAGGGGTGGCCCCGAGCTGGGTCTGGGCCCTGCATGGATGCCGGGTGGTCCAGGAGGCACTCACCCTGCCAGCACAGGCCGCAGCCAGCAGCTCCCCCAGGCACCGGGCCACCTCCTGTACCTTGGGTAGCAGCTGTCCCAGTGGGCGGGGGCTCCCCTCAGCCCCAAAGTCCTGGGAGGAAGGCAGGGGGGTGTCAGAGAGCAGGGCCAGTTCAGGTCAGCCACTGTGCCTCGATGGGTCCCCCAGGTGGCACTCCCCACAAGTGACCCCTGAAGTTACTGCTCAGAGCTGAGGGGGAGCCCCGGGGTGTTTCCAGTGGGGGACATCTGCCCCAGGGCCCCTCAGGTCCCAGGGGGACATCACAGTGGGGGGTGTCCCAGCACCCCGGGTGGAAGGACAGGCACTGTGCCCTGGAATGGGGCAGGCCTACACCCAGGGTGCCTGGGGTTAGCTGGGCGGTCACTGTGTGTGCCGGGGGAAGGGTCCCTCTGCCTGGGGACAGCCTGGCCCCAGGCAGTGTCACTCACAGTGCTGGCCCTGCTTTGGCCCAGGCGGCGCTGGCGCTCCTGCACGCGCCGAAGCTGCTGCTGGTACCAGTCCCGGCCGTGCGCCATCATTTCTAGACCCTGCAGCAGCACCTCCTTCTCCTGCTCCAGCTCCTTCATCTGCTTCAGCTGCCACACGCAGGGACACACACGTGCCAACAAGCCCACATGTAGCACATGTCTGCGTGCCCACGTATGTGCGCGAGGAGGCACAGTCGTGCACTCAAGACGCCGGCACACCCAGACCAGCCCGCCCAGGCACAGATCCGCCAGCAAGTGCGCACACACCAGTGCATGTGTGAGCCCTCGCATGCCTCTGCGTTGGGAGCACAGCCCCATTCCCCCTCCCAGGAGAGTCCTGGCCTCCCTCAGCCCCTCCACAGGCTTCTGCAGGGGAACAGATGGCTGTCCCCAGCTTAGCGCCCCTCTCTTCACGATGAGCGGCGAGCACGCGGCTGGGGCAGGGCAGTGCTGCGGAAGGGCCCAGCCCACTGCCCTGGCACACCCAGGCCACCTTCTCCCTAGAGGACTTCTTGACCTGACCCTGGGCCATCCCTCATGTGGATTCAAGCCTGGATGCAGAAGCATGTGACTAACGTTCCCGCCACAGGCCCCCCAGAACCAAGGCCCCGCTGCCCCCTCCCAGGCAGAGGGGTGGTCCAGGAGACAAAGTGTGGGGGCTGAGTCCACTCCCAGGCAAGATGGAGAGTCCCCAGAGCCCCCGGGCCCCACTTACCAGGTCACAGTCCACACCACTGGTGATGGTGTGCCTCCGACGCTCCCCTCGGGCATGGGGGCCCCGCTGGGCACCCCCCACGCCTAGCTCCCGAGCCCTGCCGGCCACTGCACCTTCAGCAGAAGAGGCAAGGGCCAGGCTCACCTCCAGGCCTGCTTGGTCAATCCCGCACAAGGCCTGGCATCCAGGTCTGTCCCAGACGCCCCCACCAACCCTGGTGATACAAGCCTGCGTGGTCATCAGCAACTCAGGGCCTCTGCCGCCCCCACAGCTCAATCCAGCCTGGGGGGCGTGGGCACTGGCCTAGCCCGGCCCACTCCACCCGCACCAGCTCCCCTCGCACCTGCCTTGGGGAGGGCTGTGTGGCCGCTGAGGCTGCATGTTTGCACACACACCACACACACACCCCAGTGTGAGCTCCCTGGGAGCAGGGGCTTCATCCGGCCCGTCTCGGCACCCCCAGTGCCCAGAATACTTTGAGCACACCTCGGGGCTCAAAGGCTGCCAGGTACAGAGCGAGCGAGTGGGGCCGCTGGTCCTCTCCACTCCTCTCCCTGCCTGCACAGGCCCCTTAAGGGTGACCGGGGTTCATGGAAGTGAAATGTGGGGCATGGGTGGTGAGACCTAAGTTTCCCCATGAAGGTGCTCACTGTATAAAGTTAGTCCCACCCACACACACAGTGCACTCAGCAGGTAACTTGGGAGTTCCCACAGCGCATGTGTCCACCTGCAGCATTTGCACTTCCCTGTGAGGACCTCCCGGAGGGCCAGTGGCTTCCTTGGGGGATAGGCAAGTATGTGCAGAGCTGCCCAGGAGGGGAGGAGTAGGGTGCAGGTGTGGAGGAGGGCTCTGTCCCTGGCTCCCTAGCCCTGTTCCCCACGCCAGGCTCATCCTCGCAGGCCATGCCCCTGGCGCCCGGCAACGGGAGTGGGCGGTGATGTAAGGAGGTGCAGGTGTGCCCGGCAGGGACACGCCCAGAGGGTTGGCACCAGGTGGCTATGTGGGCCGCCAGCCAGACCTGGCAGGCAGGCTCCAAGTAGGCCCAGAGTTCATGTTCCAACCTGCTGTGCAGCCGCAGAGAAGGTACAGGCAGAGGGAAGCTGAGGGCACCCAAAAGACCTGGGCCTGGTCTGCAATATCAAGTCTGCAAGGCAGCTCCTGGGTCCCCGTTGACAGCACCTGGATGTCCAGCTGGATGACGGAGCTAGCAGCTTGTACCTACCGGGCCCAGCCGGCCTGGGGTGCACACTGAGCCCCAACAGGGGACAAGGAAGGAGGGCCTGGATCTGGGGGGGCTCTCTGCATGCATGGCTTTCTCTTCCTGGGGAACAGGGGGGTCTTGGAGCTCTAGATTTGGCACCCCAAGAGCATGCCACGCCCCTTGTCTGGGCCTCTGCCTGTAAAATGTGACAGTAAGGGGCTGGCCCAGTGGCGTAGTGGTTAAGTGCGCCTGCTCCACTGCGGCGGCCCCAGATTCGGATTCTGGGCGCACCAACACACCGCTTGTCAAGCCATGCTGTGGCAGCATCCCACATAAAGTGGAGGAAGATGGGCACGGATGTTAGCCCAGGGCCAGTCTTCCTCAGCACAAAAGGGGCTGGCAGCTGCCACGGGTGGAAGGCCTGCACCTGGCAGGGCACGTGTGCAGGCTGAATGAGCTGAGGGGCCTGGCCCCCGCCCCCAGCCATAATGCAGGTCCTGTTTCCAGGGCAGGCACTGGGGGGACAAACAGGGGACCATTCAGCCATCTCCTGTCCCTGCCAAGTGGACCAGAAACCAGAAGAGGAGCCTGACGGCCGTCCCCAGGGGCTGTCTGTGTCCCTCTGAGGCATCAGCAGCAGCACAGCCTTTCAGGCCTTGAAGACCCGGCTGGAGCCCCACCCACCACTTTGCTCTTCCTACCACCTGGGCCAGGTCCTCCTGGACCACCCCCAGCAGCTCCTGCCTGCCCTGGCCCCAGTGGGGGGGCAGTGGGCCCACACCCTCCTGGCTGAGCTGTCAGACTGAGGACCCAAGAAAGCAGCGAGGACTCCTGCCAGTCTGGGGTACCCTCCCTGGTCTGCACTACGGGAAACCGCCTGCACCTAAGCAGTAACCAGAGATGAGACTGAGGGCACAGGTGTCCTCAGATGTGGGGCAGGTGTTGGAGGTGGAGAGCCTCCTTGCACCGGCAGAGGTCCCCAGTGCCCAGCTCAGGTTTGGTACAGGGTGGGTTCCTGGTGGGGCTTCCGGAGTCACTCACCGGCCCCTTCGCCCTCGTGGCCTCGAGCTGTGTCGGGGAAGGGGCTGGCTTGTCTCCTGGCCCCTGAGCACACCGGGACGGGCTCGAGGCCTCTTTCCTCCAGGTTGTGAAGCGCGTTCCAGGCTCACGAGCCCACGCAGAGCTGGCCCCCGTCCCCCTCCCCCTGACCCCGGTGGGAGATGCATGGGCAGCACCTCTCGCGCTCCGGCCTCAGGCGCAGGCGGGGGACAGCTACGAGGCGGAGCTGGGGGCCGCCCCGCACTC